TAATAATAATAATAATAATAATAATAATAATAATAATAATAATAATAATAATAATAATACATTTTATTTGAAGGCGCCTTTCAAAATACTCAAGGTCACCGAACAAGAAATACAAAGATAAAAAACAATAAAATGCAGATATCAGTAAAATCAAATGATAATGATGAAATACATAATGACATTAAACAGAATAAGCAAGTTTGAAAAAGTGAGTTTTAAGGTTGGATTTAAATGAGGGCAGAGAATCAGAATTATGGATGTGCTGTGGAAGAGAGTTCCAGAGACAAGGGGCTTTGCAGGAGGAGGCTCTGGATTCCATGGTTGTCAAGCGGGCAGGAGGTACTACAAGAGAGATGGATAGGGAGGAGCGAAGACTTCGAGCAGGTGTGTAATAGCAAAGATCAGTGAGGTACAGCGGTGCCAAGTTATGGAGAGCTTTGAAAGTGAGGAGGAGAATCTTGACGTCGATGTGATATTTTATGGGTAACCAGTGAAGATGTTTAAGGATAGGGGTGATGTGTTCCTTCGATGTAGTTCTAGTAATGATCCGGGCAGCTGTGCTGGTGGGGGTAAGAAATGAAATGGAGACGATCGAACGGAGATAATGCCTGAGCAGTGCTGATCGAGTCCATGCCATGCCGCATTCCTGCAGTAATCCAGGCAAAAGCAGCCCCAACTAAGTATTGAGTGCTGTACATGCTCATACTTTTCATGTTCATACTTTTCAGTTGGCCAACATTTAAAAAAAAATCCATTTTTTTAATTGGTCATAAGTAATATTCAAGTAATATAAGTAATATAGACTTATTAACAAACAGACCTTAGTCTGTGAGGATCCACAACTTTTCCTCCTCCACCACAACCCTCAGCACTGGCTCCCCTCAGGGATGTGTGCTGAGCCGTCTCCTATTAACTCTGCTCACATATGATTGTGCAGCTACCCATCCAGGCTGTCATATCATAAAGTTTGCAGATGATACAGCAGTGGTGGGATGCATCAGAATGATGAGTCCAGCTACAGGCAGGAGGTGGAACACCTGGAGAGCTGGTGCAAAGAGCATAACCTTGACATCAATGTAAAGAAGACAAAGGAGATGATTGTGGACTTCAGAAGTAACAAACACATCTACACCCCCCTGAACATAAGAGGATCTGTGGTGGAAGTGGTCTCCAGCTACAAGTACTTGGGTGTACACCTGAATGACAACCTCAGCTGTGGCAACAACACCACCAGCCTGATCAAGAAAGCTCATCAGAGACTCTACTTCCTCAGGCGGCTGAGACGAGCTGGTCTGGGAATCTCAGTCCTCACCTCCTTCTTCAGGTGTGCAGTGGAGAGCATCCTGTGCTCGAGCATCAATGTGTGGCATGGAGGCTGCACAGCTGCAGAAAGAAAAGCTTTGCAGAGAGTGGTGAAGGCTGCACAGAAGTCTGTTGGAGTCAGCCTCCCCACCATCACAGACATCTACACCTCCAGATGTAGGAAGAGGGCCACCTGCATCATGAAGGACCCCACTCACCCAGCACACACATTTTTTGCCTCGCTCCCCTCAGACAGGAGGTTAAGGAGCATTAGAGTGCATTCACACCAACCCTGTTTAGTCCGCTTTAATCGAACTCTAGCTCGTTTTCCTAGAAAGTCCAGTTCGTTTGGGGAGGTGTGAACGCGCCATTGAACTCTGTCTCGGAACAAAAAGGCGAACTCTGGCCCGGGCTAAAACATAGGTCTCTGTCCGGTAGAAGAGAACTCCAGTGCGGTTTGAGTACAGTGTGAATGCAATCAGACCGGGCCCCACTCCACAAGCAAGAAGTGGAGTACAGCGCAGAGCAAACAAACACGCATTTCTCTTACCTCATATGGAGCTGTCAGTTGCCTTGTGTGAAAAACAACATTCTCCATGGTCTTCTGCTTCATCTTCTGCTCATGCTGAGTCCATTTTTGAAAAATGACAAAATATAACTCCTAAAACTGCTAAAACTTGATGCCCCTTCGTTTTTGTTTTTATTTCCAGAAGAAGAAGTGTCTTCAGTGGTTTTTGTGTCATTTCTTTCAGTAGTTCTTGGTGCAGCGCCCCCACAGGCAAGTGGGGGAATAGGTTGGTTCAACAGGTTGGCTCGACTGCACAGTGCAGTGTGAATGCAAACGCACCAGCTCAAATGTAAACAAAAGGTCATGAATATTGATCCCCAACCGAACCGAGTCTACCGGACTATCAGGTGTGAATGCACCATTAAGTGTAGAACCACTAGACTGAGAAACAGCTTCTACCCTGAGGCTGTTAGACTCATGGACAAGGATAATCACATCTTGTTGCTGCTGATCTGTTTCATGTTGATGTGCTCATGCGTGCTCATCTGCTCACACAGACTCATGTTCATGCTGCTGTTCGGCGTAATGTTTTTATGCTACTAGTGCTTAGTGTATATTTAGTTGATGTTTTTCTTAGTTCATATCTTAGATCTTATTACTGTAACTGGGACCCTGTGTATATAATTTTGTTCCACCACATGTACCACATGGGGTGTTAATGACAAATAAAGAACCTTGAATCCTTGAACATTCTAATTTTCTGGGATACTGAATTTGGGGTTTTCATTAGTTGTCTGTTATAATCATCAACATTAAAAGAAAGAATCATTTGAAATATTTCAGTCTGTGTGTAAAGAATGAATATAATATACAAGTTTCACTTTTTGAATGGAATTACTGAAATAAATAAACTTTTTCATGATATTCTAATTTTATGACCAACACCTGCATATTGTGTTTCAGAAAGAAATTATGTATTAATGCTTTTAAAGTACATAGTTTAATGTTTAATATTCTGACTACCGGTATTAAATGCACCATTTAATTGGAATTCTTACTGAAAATTCTGTTTCCATTTGTCACTGATTTATAAAACTAACGTCAGTAGCCTGAGCAACAGGTTTTAACACAAGTTTTAAACAAAACGTTTTTTACCCCCTCCCCCAAATAATAAATAAATAAACAGACAGCATGATATATCCATGTTTGGTGCAAGGCTTAAACACTATTTCACAAAGTCTGTTTTTTATTAATTCATTTTGATTGTTTTTACCGTTTGCTGTTTTTATGATTTTAACAGTTCATTACTTTTACGGTTTCAAATGACTTTTATAGTTTTTATGCTTGCTTGAATGTGTGAGTATACAGCACTTTGGTCAACGGTGTTGTTTTTAAAGTGCTTTATAAATAAAGTTGTATTGTAAAGTCTGAGAGCTTTTTCATTTTCAAAGCCCAATCTAAAGCTAAGAATTTTGGGCCTTGGGCGTGCTGCAGGTTGATTCTAATCAAAGTGAAGACGGCACCGAGGTCATCAGGAATGACAGCAGCACCGCACCGCAATCAACATCACTCTCAGGGTAACAAGTGAATCACAATCTACCTCCCCTCTTTGACACTCACTGAGATAAGGCATTTATTGTTATAAATAATTCGTCAGCAACAAAGATATTATCATTGGCATAGTCACTTTGTGGCAGAAAGCTCAGAATCCAACGTCACTGCTCCTAAAGAATACTGATTGCATTGCTGCTGCTCTATTTAGGAGAAAGGTGCACATAATTTAAAGGAGTTACTTTGTGGTGTTGTCTTTTGTGACTCAGTTTTATAAGCTGTCTGAAATAGAGCACAGCACATGGTTCTGCTTCTTTTAAACGTTATCTGCCATTTTAATAGCTGATTGAATGTAGCCATTAGATGAATCAACTCAAAAGCTGCAGTAATGGGAAATGTAGATTTGAGTCTAAACATATAACCCAACTTTATGTTTTTTGTTTTGAGTTTTTTCTTACCCGTTTATATGCCTTCTGTGTAAGCAAGTACCAAATATTTCACTTTTTTTGTTTGGAGTCTTTAAATACAGAACTGAAATTTGTTATTGACATCAAACAGTGGTGATACATGTATGTGCATAGAAGCAGTTTTTAAAAAGGCTCATGCTGCAGGAAGAAAGGGGGGAAAAATCATCTTAAGAAATGTGCTACCTGGGTCAGTAGCTGACATAATGGCACCGAACAGGAGGCAGTCAGTGAGGAAGAATTCTCCTGCAGCTTGTCCCAGCAGCACCATGAGTCTGGTGAAGCCGTAGATGCAGGCCCTGGTGTTGAAATCAAACAGATGGAGGGAATAGTACACTGAGGTCATTAGGGTCTGAAAGGCAGCTGCAAGCCTATCTGTTACCTCACTAAACACAGCAGGGTTTCCTCCACAGTGGGCTGGGTAATGGGAGAAGACACAACCAGCAGGTGAGGTGACCTCTTTCTAGGCAGCGGTTGCTCAACACAAACGAACCAATAAAGCTGTGGCTGCACATGACTGTTTGTTCTACACACATTTAGATTACTGATGTAATGAAAGATGTATTTCCCTCTCTTTGGATATAAACAGGCTCCCGCATGCTTTATATTATCAGAGAAACTATCTAAGCAGCTCAACCCTTGTACTCACTGTTATAAGACATAACAAAATTTGTTTATATTAGCACACTATGAATAAGGAGGCATAATAAGTTTCAATGTTTGCATCAAAACACAAAATTACCTGAAAAACCAACAACTTTGTAAAGGCTTTCTGAAGGGCACGGGGACAGAACAAGACAGTAGAAGAATGTTTAATCAGCTCAGGAGACAGGCAATAAAATATATCTAAAATCTACCTGTCCTAGAGCCCACCCTGGTTTTATCTCCTTTGTAGAAGTTCCTGCGCTCTATGAGCAAATACTTTTCTCTTTAGCATTCAACACTGCATGTCAGCTTCCAAATGCTAACAGACGTATGTTAAGTGCTAATCCAGTTACTGAAAACACATCCCATAATAATCAATATGCCTCTGCGTCCTCAAGGTACATTTCTGTCTAATCAAAAGACGCCGTTACCATGGTGACGGCACATAACCTGTCCCCATGGCCAGAATTTAAAGCACAGTCCTCAGGTAGAGCAACTAAGCTGCCTTATTTCATGTATCTGAAGGGGACATTTGGAGTTAGGGTGATCGTGCTTCCTTTGGGTACGTGTCAGAAACAGAAAAAAATCCGAATGAGTCAGGCAAACACAGACAGCAAAAAATACAAGGATGTACTATGGCAACTATGTTAGGTAGGTAGGTTCTAGGGATGCATGATATTATCGGCATGTATCGATATAGGACGGTATTAGCGTTAAAGTTAAATATTGGACATCGTCCATTCCATCAAAATAACTCACCGATATAAAAAGTGCTGTTTTTGTATGACAACCCAGTGACAAGGATGCCTGCAGCGCCAGCACAACGTGATGACATCACACGTACATACCTGATCTGATCACGGCGGAGAAGAAGAAGACAAAATGTCGATGGAGTGGAAGTTTTTTTGTTGTTGAGGGTATCGGATTCCAAAGATTTTTGGACTACGTTGAGCCTCGCTACATCGTCCCCAGTAGGAGATTTTTTTTCCGACGTAGCCTTACCCGAGTTACAAGCCATCGTTTCCGACATCATTAATAGCCAATAGCTAATAGCCAATAGCACTTGGGTGAGTTTTACCACAGACATTTGGACGTCATGTTAGCCCTATTAGCATGATTAGTCTTACAACACAATGGATAGACAAAAACTATGAACTTAAAAAGGCTGTCCTTCATGCACAAGAGTGCAGAGGATTCCCATATTGTAGCTAGAAACCAAGAACAAGCCTCCACAAGTGAAACAGCATCGCAGGTGACTAATGCTAATAAATAATATTTAACACTTTTCATTTAATATAAGTTAAAGTGCTATGCATATGGCTGTTACTGAATATATGTCACCACCTCTTACAGCTGTTACACAATTTTTGTAGTAAATAAGCCTAAATAAGAGGGCTATGTTCTGACAAAGGAAAGTATATTAAAAATATCACTATCAGTTATCGGCCAAATAAGTTTAACATATCGGCATATCGGATATTGGCCAAAATTCCAATATCGTGCATCCCTTGTTAGGTTCCCCTCATTGTATTTTACTGACATGAAATGACAGACACTAACAGGCTATGAGACAAGAAATCTGTTTTATGAGGCAAGTTTTAGGGCTCTTTGGGTGTGCAAGATCCCAAAAGTGCACTTCTTTAAAAACTTTCAGTCATTGTGGTCACTTTTGCTGTAAATATTGAGAGCAAAGTATGCATAAGAACAGGGATTAAAAGCAGAGGGATTCTATGGAAAGCTTATGAACCATTATTATCTTACCTGTTGAACAACCTCAAGTGAGAGAAATTACTGTTTCATTCTGACCAGATAGTCTGAAGAAAGCTAAGAGACCAATAAAAAAGGTTGAATCATGTCATCTGGACTTCGTTTTTTTGTTAAAAA